ACCTGACTGTTGCTCGTTCCCAAGGGCTGAATGAACCGCCCCCTTGTGTGTAGTGCTTCCTCAAGAATATAATTTGGTTAGTGTTGTGGACGAGATGGGGGGGAAAACCGCGTCCTCGATTCTTATGAAAAAAATATGCCTATTAAACGTTGTGCATCACACAGATTTGCTTATTGTCCTCATTATGCAAGTAAATATTATTATATTATATGGAAGAGATAGAGTCGTTCTCTTATACATTTAAAACGTTTCGAGTGTTCCTACTGCAGCGCAGCCCTGGGCCAGTCTTGTCCGTGGGACATACACCACCTGTAGAATGGCAGACAGTAAGGTTTGATTTGAGGAAGGAGGCTAGCTACAAATCCTTGGCTCAAGAGCCCTTCTCCAGCATTAAGAACCCCCCCCCACCTCGAAGAAGCAAATCTTACAAACTTACATTATACAATTATCGTTTCTTTTCTTCCTCGTGTGCTCAGTAGTTTTTATTCTTGAAATTTGATGATCCCACGAGTCATTATATAGCAGATACAGACATGCGTGGGGGCGCCATGCAGTCATGAATATAAGAGTTGTATAATATTATTGATCCTACCGCTACACCTCTTGCGGAAATTAGGGATCAATCCTAGCTAAAGAGCGCACAACTGTACCAGGTCATTAGCACGTCATAATCGGTCTGTAATATCAATACGTATACTCGCCTGTATGTGGTTGCAAGGGTTGAGTCAGCTCCTGGCGCTTGCGTGTTTGTTTTTCAACAACAGATATGCTAAGGCCCTAGAGGCCAGAAATCAGTAACACCGCCATGTAAGAATCAAGAGGCGTCGCCTACAAACAATTAGCGAGTATAGTTTGCCTTTTGTTCAACGACTAGATACATCTAAATAATTAATGTGGGGTAAGTTTTATGCCAGAAACAGGACTTCCACCTTCTCTCAGCAAATATACAAATACCGTTGGAGTAATATTAGAAGTATCATCTTGCCTCACTTATCGCAGTTATGGAGTTAAACACACCCGCTGAGGGACTGACCACCTCGCACTTGTTCTTTGGACTGAGGTTCTGATTAACTCGTACCTAAATCTCCACGACTCTTGCAGCCTTCTGAGCAGGCGAAACTTCTCGTTAATGAATATACCAAACTGTTGCACGTGTGTCTTCAAATCTAAAGTTAGAAGTGCTGAAGAGGATACCCGAATTGTTTCGTCTAAGGTGTGCCAGCAATAGCCTAGCTGGTCAGGCAGTGACTTGGGAAACCTGGCCTCATGCCGGACTCGGTACACACCTTCTTACCCAGCACAGGTAAATCAGCAAGCTTTTATCACGATGAGATAAAAGGAATAAAATACCCAAGAAAGGAGAGTGTAGAAAGTTCCTTGTTATGCTGAGCATTTCGGGCAAATTAGCTCCTCAAGGGAGGTTCCTTAACGCTGGTGAGGGGCTCTTGATCTAGGGAATTGGATCTGCGCTCCAAGCCCTGAACTGACCCTGAATACCTTCCATTCCCCCCACAGGCGCTGTATAATCCCTACGGCGTTTAACGCTCTCCCTTGATTATTATAATCGGGCAAATTAGGTCAGTTTTGTCCCAAGATGCGACCCACACCAGTCCACTAACACGTCTTAACATTTCCACCCGTGCCGGAGATCAAACCACGGACCTCAGTGTGTGAGCTGGCTACGCTACCAGTCAAGCCACGAGATACCTGAGGATGAGGGACTTATCTCTCCATCTCTTGAAGTTGTAATAAAGTTGGTAGAATTATTCTGCTCTTGACTCTCGCCCAGGCAGGTCATAGCAGCTCTCCTTACTTACTCTGTCTCCCTACGATCCCCGTTGGGGAGGGGAACTTTTACCAGCGTTGTCATCGCCTTGACTTACACGATGAGCTACGCAAATCGTGTAAAGATCAAACCAAGAAATGGTACCGTTGATGATTCAACGAAGATTGCTCTTGCAACTGTTGTTCAGGGAGCACTGGAAGTAAAATTCAACACCATATTGTCACTGAAAGAAGCATTCATTGTTGTGTGTCACGATGATGCTGAAGCAGAGAAGCTACTCACTACAGAAGCCATCACTTCTCTTACTACTCAAGGGTTTACTGTTACGTCATCTCCTGCCTCTAGGGCAAGGAAATCAGTATTCCTAAAAAAAACTGGACAAGATTCTGACGTCTCAAACACCTGCTGAACTCAAGTCATCCATCGAGACGCAAAATACTTGGGCTACTGTTGACAGCATTACAAAAATCCCAAATGCAACGTCCATGATCAAGGTCACCTTCACCGACGTGAACATGGCTGCCACTGCACTGAACGAAGGTCTTGCTGTCTACTACTACTACATCAGCCCTACCTACATTGAAGCAGAGAGATATCACTACATCCAACATTGCTGGAACTGTTATTCATACCATCACACCACCAAAGCATGTCCAGTAAAAGACAAGAAGTTCTGCACTACATGTGGTAGTGAGGGACACACCTTCAGTTCCTGCACCGCTGCTGCTCCAACACAACCAGCGTGCTTAAACTGCAAGAGTAATGATCACCATAAACTGGCAGCATAAATGTCTACAAGATAAGGATATTAGAAGAAACACAGATGCAGCAAAGAAAAAACTTATTAGCAAACGTCTCCTGGAACGTATGCAGCAATTGCTAAATACAGAGAGACATCTACAAAATCTGACTTAATATGCTTCTACCTCGTGTACCGATCCACACCACACCGATCACGTTCCTCAAAATGTGATGTAATGTAAGATTACACTCACATGTCTACTATACGCTCATATGCAAACAACTATGGCTGTACCTGGATCATCATATACATCACTCCTACATTCAACGTAGTTATTGCATTAAAACACTGACTGGCCTTGCATTTACATTTCCAGCATCTCCATCTTCTGAAGAAATTCTCAAATTCACCAAAAACTTAATCGTCAACTCTTCTGCAGAAGTTCCATCAACACCACCAACTAGTGACGTCAATCCAACAACGACCAATGAGAAGCCTCCACCGCCACCACCTCTCACTGAATCCAACCAATCAGAAGCCTTACCACCAGAAACATTCTAATTCGTCTACTGAAGTTGAAAACGAAGCAACACCACCTTCCTCTACTCCACCACCGCCTTCTCTACTTAGCTCACGTCGATTACCTGGAACACCATGGGTTAAACACAGAAGGACTCATATTCTACACCACGAGACTATACCCTGCAAGCATGACTCGCCTAGAACTCAACCAACATCTCCAAGACAACACTGTATCGTACCAAAGCGAAGAAAGACCATTCCCTACCTACAACCAGATACTCCACAACTCCAAACCAACGAATACTACTACAGCTCTCCCATAAGTGTGATACAACTCTCTCGAAAACAATTTTCCGCACTGATAAACGGTTTAAGACCATAACCAACTCATCCTGCTTGCTGCCTTCTGACACTCCCAGCTCCTACCGCTGCCTTCGCCATCCTCTCCTAGTGAGCCAAGCAATGACATCAGTCAAGCCTCTCTATCTACGTCTCCAGTACTTTTGTACCACATGTCCCAAAGTGGTTGGGCCACTTGCCTTGATTCCTCCTCTTCCCCTCCTCGCCATCCTTTTCCAGTTATTTCCATCCTTCCTTATCCTTCTTCCTTCCCATCTTACGACAGCTCTCGTCGTCCTCGATTCGATTCGATTCGGTAGAATTACCGACAATATGTAAAGTAAAAGGACACAAGTGCAACTAATGTGACATTTTATTGTGGCAACGTTTCGCTCTCCAGGAGCTTTATCAAGCCATTACAAACAATACATGAACACAGAGGGTATATAAAGGCTCAGAGTACCTCACTAGTATTGCACCTCACTCTGAGCCTTTATATACCCTCTGTGTCCATGTATTGTTTGTAATGGCTTGATAAAGCTCCTGGAGAGCGAAACGTTGCCACAATAAAATGTCACATTAGTTGCACTTGTGTCCTTTTACTTTACATCTCTTGAAATTATTGTTTTACTATGGGAAATTACCTAATATACAGATTTTCGTCATAAGGTGATCAATTCAGTGGTGCCTGTGATAGGCCACAGTGGTAACAACACCTGATTCACATGCCAGATTTAGTGACCTGAGTGAACACATGATGTCACTCATGTACTCATTAGGATCTTCACCTAACAATAATCTATCACGTGATCACACGGTCAAATACGTAAACAAAACACAAGTGAAGCTCCAGAACATTTATTATGGAAGCGCATCCTTCAAAGGAAGGTGAGTTAATTTACCTTCCTTTGAAGGTGAATCTCCCAGTAAGCGAAACCTTGCCTCTTAACAAGTGACCAAGTGGTGCAAGTGTCTCTTAAGTGAAGCAAGAGGCCTCGACAGTGGTGGTAAACACGAGAGTTGCTCTTAGAAAAGGTGCTCGGGACCCCTGGCAGAGGAAATACCTTACAGTAATAAAAGTAGGCGTATTGTGGGTTTCTTAAGCTCACTCATGAACACATCAGCCTTGTGTTCAATACCGTGTTTTCTAAATCTCACTGAATTGTCTTCACGGCTGCTCCTACTTGCTTCACTTCTTTCAATGAAATATGTTCTTATATACCGATGTTCTGTAATAATCTTTTTGAGAAGTTAACAAGGCGGTATTTTAAATAGGTTAAATGCCCACGCGTAGGTGTGTATACCTGGGGAGGGGGTCGAGGGTCAATGCCCCCGCGGCCCAGTCTGAGACCAGGTCTCGTGTGTGTTGTAAGCATACCCATGTGTGCGCCTGGTGACGGACTGGGTGGCGGGGGCGTTGACCCCCGGAACACCCTCCGGTTATATAAGAAGAAACACGCTTAAAATGTAATTAATCACTTCGAGTGAGCGAAACGCTTCCTAGTATAGCCTCCCAGGGTTGCGCACGTGTATTGCAATCTGTCAGTGCAAATTTGTAAGATTGTCTATGAACATTTCTAATTGATATCTCGTCTGTGTTGCGCCTCCCAGGTGTTGCTGCTTGTCCAGGAAGACTTCAGCAACACATGTGTTGATGAACGTGAAGAAAATTGACGAGTGAACATGTCGAAACCACGTCCGTCTTTCTCAGTTACTGGTGAGTGTATATCCATAGAATTAATAATTATACTGAACAATAATATATACGTGTATATATATATATATATATATATATATATATATATATATATATATATATATATTATATATATATATATATATATATATATATTAAATGTCGTGCCGAATAGGCAGAACATGCGATCTTGGTTTAAATAGCAACGCTCATCTTGCCATATAGGACAAGTGAAAATTTGTGTATGCAATAATTTAGCCAAAATCATTCTGAACCTAACGAAAAAAATATATTTGATTGTGTTTGTTTTGTATTAAATTACTGTAAACAAATCTAGAATATATTTAGTTGGGTTAGGCTAAAATGAATTGTTCTTGTTATAATAAGGTTAGGTAAGTTTTCTAAGATTCTTTTGGTGCAAAATTAAAATTTTTTACATTAACATTAATGAAAAAAATATATCTTTAAACGTATAAGAGAAAATTTCAGAAAGGACTTAATTTTAAATTAGTTCTTGCTAATTGACCAGTTTTACATATTCGGCACGACATATATATATATATATATATATATATATATATATATATATATATATATATATATATATATATTATATATATATATATAATCAACGAACCGGCCGTATCCCACCGAGGAAGGGTGCCCTAAAAAGAAAGATGGGTTTATGAATGATGAGGTTAATCATAGAATTGATGAGGGAAAAAAAGGTGAGTGGTGCGTTGAGGTATATGTGGAGACAAAAAAACGTTATCTATGGAGGCAAAGAAGGGAATGTATGAAAGTATAGTGGTACCAACACTCTTATATGGATGTGAAGCTTGGGTGGTAAATGCAGCAGCGAGGAGATGGTTGGAGGCAGTGGAGATGTCCTGTCTAAGGGCAATGTGTGGTGTAAATATTATGCAGAAAATTCGGAGTGTGGAAATTAGGAGAAGGTGTGGAGTTAATAAAAGCATTAGTCAGAGGGCAGAAGAGGGGTTGTTGAGGTGGTTTGGTCATTTAGAGAGAATGGATCAAAGTAGAATGACATGGAGAGCGTATAAATCTATAGGGGAAGGAAGGCGGGGTAGGGGTCGTCCTCGGAAAGGTTGGAGGGAGGGGGTAAAGGAGGTTTTGTGGGCGAGGGGCTTGGACTTCCAGAAAGCGTGCGTGACCGTGTTAGATAGGAGTGAATGGAGACGAAAGGTTTTTGGGACCTGACAAGCTGTTGGAGTGTGAGCAGGGTAATATTTAGTGAAGGGAGTCAGGGAAACCCGTTATTTTTATATAGTCGGACTTGAGTCCTGGAACTGGGAAGTACAATGTCTGTACTGTAAAGGAGGGGTTTGGGATATTGGCAGTTTGGAGGGATGTGTTATGTGTCTTTATATATGCTTCTAAACTGCTGTATCTGGGTGCCTTTGTAAAAACAGCAATTATGTATGAGTCAGGTGAGAGTGTTGAATGATGATGAAAGTATTTTCAAAATGGGGTTTTTTTTTGGGGGTCACCCTCCCTCGGTGGGGAGACGCGACTTGTTGAAAAAATATATATATATATTATTATTTTTATAAATTTATATATATTTTATATATTTTATATATATAATTTTATATTTTATACTCAACCCTAAAATCTGCCCCTTTATGCAGGGATCATGATCCGCCCCTTAGCTCTTGGTTCGTAGTGGTGATAAAAGGGAGGTACTGTTGCATGCAATGGACAGGGGGGAATAAATCTTGCAGGAGTAGGGTCGTCGAGGGGGTGGGGGTGTGGTGAGGGGGTAAAAGGGGAAAGTCAAGAGCTGGGAGATTGATTAAAAAAAAAGACGTTAAAAGCAGGTGTTACAATTTTTAGCTGCAAAAACTTAAATAAAGAGGTCCTGGTCTATAGGGTAAATCCGGGAAATTTGATTCTGAGGACTGTTTTACGCTACGCAACTATACTAAAAACAAACCTCTCTTTGGGTGGACCTACTTCCAGGGGGAACCCGCCCCCAGTGACTATCCCTCGTCTGCTCCCCGTCCCCTTTTCCCACCTGTTTAGTAATAAGCCCCAGGCACCTTGCTTTTGTTTCGAATGTCCCGTTTGGGTCTTGACCAAACTTCAAGGCTAGGGATGATTACCCATCTTTTGTATATAGTTCTCTTAAAATTTATGCCTGGAATTTGTATTGATGAAGACTGGATGGCGAAAACGTTAAAATAAAGTTTCCCAGATGTTGCACTGTGTCTTAATTTCAATCTTCTCTACTAAAAAACCCAAAACACCACATCAGTTACCCTTTTCCCCGTACTATATTACCTCACTAGCCACTGCTATAGGAGTAAAACAAATATATAAAATTTATAAAAAAGGGAGGTCCTGACACCCCCCCCCCCTCTTTCTGCAGCTGTATACCCGCGGGGAAAAGCACCATCGTACTCTCCTAAAATTTAAAAAAGGCCTCTGAAAACTGGGGCCCCCAGACAAACATGAGAGCACTTAAACCACTCTTCCTGACCAGGAATAATACGCGTCCGGTTTCAGAACAATCCCTGAACTATGGAGCACTTTTTATACAATATTTTTACTGCAGCACACTGTGTAATTACATGTGAGAATGTAGCGTTGGAGTGGTTGGTATATTTTTCAAGTATATTATTGTAACCACGAACAAGTGGTATTGATCAATAACAACACTGCAGCCTTAACCCACAGGACCACCCAAGCCTACTAAGATGGCGCAGCCAGCAGAGCTAGCTGTTTGACCGCCATCCGAGGACCTTCGGTGTCGTGGGAGCTTGTAGGCCAATTTTCATTCTCATCTCTGTTTGGTGTACTAGTCCACGTTCATGGTTACAATAATATTTATATATGCTGCTCGTGGACTAGTGCACCAAACAGGGATGAGAATGACAATTAGCCTGCAAGCTCTCACGACACCGAAGGTCCTCGGATGGCGGTCAAACAGCTAGCTCTGCTGGCTGCGCCATCTTTGTAGGCTTGGGTGGTCCTGTGGGTTAAGGTGTCATGTGGTTCTAGCTCACCATGAGGCGGGCCAGTACAACATGGGATCGGGTCCTTGGCTAGTGCAGTGTTGTTATTGTCCAGTATAAATATGAAAAAAAAGGAATGTACATAAGGACTAATAGAAAGGAGGCATAATTTCTTTGTGTGGGGGTAAAAGTGGACAAGAATTATGAGAGAACAAGCCTGTTAGGTATACCATGTAAAGTATATAGTAGAGTTATTTTGAAAGGGGTAAGAGTAAAACTAAATAGAATCGGAGAGGATCAAAGAGGATTTGGGAAAGGTAGGGGGTGTGTAGACCAAGTGTTTACGTTCCTTATAAGTGAACAATACTTAAAGACAACGAACTGTTTGTCCCACTTAGGAATTTAGAAAAGACATATGATAAGGCGAATAGTGGAGCAATGTGCTAGATGTTGCAAATGTATGGAATAGGCAGTAGATCACTAAAAGGAGTAAAGAGTTTTCATGAGGATTGTGAGGCTCAAATTAGGGTGTGTAGGAGAGAGGAAATTATTTTCCAGTAAAATTAGTCCTTAGACAGGGCTGCGTGATGTCACTATGGTTGCTTAACATGGATGTGGATGTTAGCGTGTTGGAAGACGTGCGGGATTGAAAGACAACGAATTTGATACAAAATGGGAGTTGTCACAGTTACTCTTTGCTGATGACATGGTTCCTTTGGGGGATTTTGAAGAGAACTTCCAATAGTTGATGGAGGAATGTGGAAGTGCATGCAAAATACAAAACAGCAAGACGATGAATGTAACAAAGTCTAGATAATGAAAGATTACATAACAGATTGGATGTATGGGTGTGAAACATGAACTTGATATGGATGACCATGACAGAATGCAACTGAGATGGAGGGAAGGAGTTGGGTTCTCCGTCCCTGCAACTAAGGAAAATATTCCGAACACGGGTGTAGTGTAGTGGCCTGCACACTGGGTAGTAGCATGATATCCACGGTAGAAACGAGCAAAAAGCGAGCAGAGTAAATATTTATATTTTCTTCACCAAATAGTAATCAGGTATGTACAATATATACAACAGATATGTACAATAAGGCAAGCAAGAGACACGGATAGAACCGTAGCAACCAAACTGGGAGGTAAGTCTGCCAAAGTTGATTCATGAGTGTACCACATCGCTTCACAACTTTAGCGGGCTTCCTGTGATTGGCTGGTTGAACCAAGGCAATGGTATAACGGTGGGGCCCCTACTAGTTATACCCTTAGCACCTGGTTTGCTAGTCGGGAGGGCATGGCTGTATGGGTGTGTGACATACGCCAAATAAAATGTAGCATACTCTTAGCATACAACTGAAGGCTTGGAAGGAAAGGGTAAAGGAGGCTTTAGGTGCTTTGGGCATTCAACAGGCTTTCTGGGCTGGATAGAGTTTCCATGCATACTATCATGCATCTGTGTGTACTCCCCTATTTGTGGCTGCAGGGGTCAAGTCACAGCACTGGTAGTGGATGTTTGTGCATATAATTGGGCTTACATGCAGTTTTAGAAAACAAGTTGAAGGTTTGGTATACAAATGCAGATGGAATAACAAATAAATGTGAGGAGTGGCATGAAAGAATCAAGGAGAAGTCCCCAGATATCATAGAGTAACAGAAACGAAACTCATCAGGCTAACAGACGCGTCTTCCCACCTGGATATCAGATCCCGAGAAAAGATAGAGGGAGCAGAGGGGGAGGAGTAGTTGCACTACTCATTAAAAACCGATGGGAATTTGTGGAAATGGAAGGAATGTCCGAAATTGGTGAAAGGGTCTACATAGTAGGTACAGTTCAGTCTAGTGAACATAAGGTAGTCATTGCACTGGTGTATCATCCTCCATAGAACTGCTGGAGGCCAAGAGAAGAATATAAAGAGAGCAACAGTTGAATAGTAGACACATTAGCTGAGGTGGCCAGAAGAGCTCACAAGGGTAGAGCGAAGTTACAAGTTATGGGCGATTTCAATCACAAGGAGATTGATTGGGAAAACGTGGAGCCAC